GGGGGGGGGGGGGGGGGGGGAGGTATCATGGCGGGGTATGGGGGGGTGATGTAAGAGCGCCCACGGGGTTTCCGCCCAAAACTAACGCAACAGCCGATGAGGGGGCTGGTCGTGGAACGTCTTTTGACCTCCGTTCCTCTTTACTCCTTAGTTACAACGACTCCGCGGGTTTTTACACGTACATGGGGCTTTTTGCCCGAACGGGCGAACCCTATAGTTACGCTACGACAGCAGTTCATGTTGTAGACTTCTTGTCACTTGTCCTTTACTTCGAGAAAAAGAGCCGACAACCTGTTGCGACATTCAACTGCGCTGTCCCCGACAAACGAAACCATGCTTTAGCTTCTGTCCCTCGGAGAGGTTAAACAAGACAAGCGCAGGAACGAAACCGTGGCCACGGCGTTGAAAATGTTTGCTATATTGGCGGGTTATCGAAACTCGAGCGAGCCTCTTGGGTTTCTGAAAGTGACTGACTGCCTGTGCGTGGAGTGGAGGCAACGCACCTCCCCGTTGTAGGTGCGGCAATTCTGCCACATGAGCTTCAAGTCTCGGTCGAAGTCTCCGAAGCTGGGGTACCCGCCGCCCTTGATCTGCGGCGAAGGGTGGCGGGGGTGGGGGGTACGCGGCAGAGGAAGAGATTCAACGAGACGCAAATGGCTCGGCGGAAGAAATCCATCCAAACAAACCAAATTATTCGAGGTATCAAGTCAAATGATTACCATGTCGCCTCCAAATGAAGAAAATACATGCAACGTAACAAGAGCCAGGAACAAGGGGTAGGGGCCAAGGTACGTCAAGTCGCACATCAGCAAGCGCACCTCGGCCACCGCAGCCGGCGGAGTGCCTGTTGCGGGGGGACTATCACCCCTCGGCTGTAGGTACGCCGCACCAGGGTGGTTGGCGGCTACACATACAGATGGCGCCACCGCCTGAGAACCTCTTATCTTGTCCGAGGCTGGGGTTCTCGCTGTATTCCTAGGGCCATGCTCCAAATGGCCGCTATAGGTTTTAGTGTAGGGGCTCTTAACCGGGCTCACAAATCGTTCTCAAGTTCAGAGATTTCTGAATTTTTGAGGCTCACTTTTCTTAACTCCTGGGTTTCTCAAGTGCGGGCGCTACCTGTACCTTTTTCAGGATCGTGCCCAGATCCATGGGAGTCTTGATGACCTTGTGGTACCCCTCGGCGATGGCTTCGGTGACGGGGTCCTTGAACCACTTGTTCTTGTCCATCTTGGACACCAGAGACCACGCCGTCTTCAACGTCTACGAGAACAAGACGGCAAGCAAGCGAAGGTGGGAACGGACGGCGGGCAGCGGAGCCGGACGGGGGGGGCGTACTCTCACGTTTTGCATGCCTCACGCGGTTAGACCATTGGCCACGCGTCCTCGAGAGGACGGAGCCGGAGGGGGGGGGGGGGCGAGGAAATCTGAAACAAGAACGACGACAGCAAACACGTCGCATTCGTAGGTGCTTGTAACTCAGAGTCTCGACCATCCTGACACTGGATTTCCAACTCTACACAAGGGAGCACCGTCCCCGTAGTGCAATACGCGGCCACCAACCAACAAGTACCAACAAGGCACGTACCTACGGAATTGTTACATACTCGATCACCGTCGATGCTGGACCGGTCCTCTTTTAGAGTCCACGTTCCGTCTCGAAAGGGCGTGCGCGTGCATATATCAGCAAGCCATCAAAAAGGCAAAAACGGGGAGAAAATCGACGCCAGCAGACAAGAACAAAAAACACATCCCGTGCATCAATGCAACCAACCAACAAACCAAGCGGACGAAGGCGAAAATTTAGGCGAGCACGATCGCAAGATTACATCCTACTTATGTGGTAGCTGTTACTACTTTGCCGGAACCGCCCCGTCCACTATATATATATACATATCCCAAAGTCAAGTGTTAAAAACCTTTTGGATCTTCGTGCTGCCGTCCTTTTGCTTGGCCTCCTCCTGCTTGGCCTCTCGCCTCTCCACCATGCCCGGCTCGTGCTGGCCTTCCCCGATCCCCGTCGCCAAGCGAAACAGGCTGCGGGTTTCGAGGAAACGACCACTTGGAGGTAAGGCATGCAGTATAGATGCCACGGATGTTGTCGTTGTTCTCGTCACCATGAAAACCGTTCCCGTTCTCTACTCACCACCGCCGTCTGCTACCCGTACCGGTTCAACTGACGCGAACGCCTTTCGTTGCCATAGGCCAACTACTCTCAAATGGGTAGGCAGCAATCGGTTTGAAAAATATTCAAAACCTGCGTATGCGCTTCGATGTTACGAGACATGCCATGGGAGAGGGCTTGGGTGTTCAGGTTCCCGTTGTCGTTGCAGTCAGGGCGGGCTTGTACAGCGAGCGAAGCAGGCTGCGGGTGTGGTGGTGGTGGTGGAGGATTCGCGCGAAAAATTATCGGAAGAGGCAACCAGGATGTGATCGATCGGTGAACCAAACCAGACCCTTGCCTGCCAATCAATTCCATCGAAGCACTCGGGAAGAAATATTGTAACTTCCGGAACACCACAAATAACGCCTCCCGCCACACACACGGCAACCGCAACAACTCCAAACAACCTCGGCAAAACACGCCAAGCATTCCAAACACGCGCGAGCGTTCGCGTGCTGTACACGCAGAGAAGCAGCAGCGAACGACTATCTACTCTCTCGTAGACTACATCAGCACCAGCGCGCCGTCATTACACGGCAGAGAGCGCCACGCAACATTTTTTTCGCCACCGCAAATGCGCACCGCTGCACGTCCCTGACCGTGCCGTCGTTGAACACGTCCTCTCGCACGGCCAGGTCGAGGCGAGACGCCAGGGCGCAGAGCCGGTCCACGGACTGGTCCGCGATGCTACCGTACGCGTGCTCCCTCGCCGTGACGAGGACGTCGGTCAGGAGTGTGGCCCACAGCCCGGCCTCCGACAGAGAATTTTCCTGCGAGAACCTTTCGGCGATGTAGTCGCACAGGAACCTGGGAGGAGGGAGGAAAAAACACAAAAAACACAAAAAACACAGGGTGTTTTCCGCAAGGGGGTGTACTCATGCAAACGCATGCCGTGGTCGTTAGAACATGGACGCCTTGGTAGTTCCAAGGGAGGGGGGTATATTCACGTCAAATACATTTCTTTTCGTTGTTTGACCATGGACCGCCTTACTACTACAAGTTGTTCGGAGGGGGGGGGGTATAGTCGCTATCGACCATTGGCCTCGCATCCCTAGAAGGCAGGAACGGAGCGATCTGCCGGGTTTTCGCCGGCCCAGGTTACGTTTGACAAGGATGAACCAGAAGCTGGTCATCATCCTCGCGTTTGCTGTGCTGTCCAAGACAGACTTATGTTGTTCGACGAGGGGGGACGCACGCGCGGGGAGGGGGGTACTCTTACGTTTTGCATGCCTTAGCGGGTTACACCACTGACCACCCGTCCTCGAGAGGACCGGAGCAATGTTCCCACAGGATGGATGGATCGCCGATGGCCAATCGTTCCTTCTTACTTGGCCAAAGGTGGCTCAAAAATGTCTTCCCTAGCCTATCTATCTTATCGATATCACTTCCCGTTTGTTCATCCCACTTCCTATGTCCCAGTACAGCTACCGTCTTCTGCTGACTATTCCATGCCTCAAACACCTCCCTGTATCTTCCTTTTATTTTTCCCAGCTCAGTCATGTACACTTGCGTCTCCTTCCTGTACAACGGACATTCCGCAACTACATGAACTTGGTCTTCGCACTTGGAGCCGCGTTCACATTTGAACTTGTCGTCTTCACCGTCCATCTTCCTAAGACTTCGTCTACGTTCTCGAAGGCCAATGTCCCCAGTCCTAAACTCGACCTCCAGCTTTGTCCCTGCATCCATTGGTCCATGTAGGTACTCATTGAACCCTGTTCCTTCTTTCAACATTCCGCACACATCTAGACCCTGTTCATCCTTGGTGTTCTTCGGTTAGATTCTGTTATTCTCTCTTGGGCAAAAGCAACAGACATTCTTCCCCTTGAGCCCCTCTAGACCTTCCGTTTCCAGCGTATCACCTTCGTCAATTTCGGCGAAAGAGAGCGCTCGCCGCCAAACGCATGGGGTCGACACCATCGAAGGCACCGTGTGTTTCCCTGCTGCTGTACCTCTTACCCGATAAGGATCGGCCGGCCGCCCGTGTACTCCGCCAGGGCGTTGATCCTCTCGGGGCCCATGAGTTTCCGCCGCTTGATGGTGTCGAGGGACCTGTAGAACCTCAACTAGCGACGACGATGACGACAAGGCAAAAACGACAACAAAGGGGAGCCCCGACTAAATGCTTAGTACGTGTCTGACGCGTGTACCGACAGGTTGTTGCTGTTGCTGCTGCTGCTGCGTCTACACTGCTGTGTTTTGTTTACATACCCTTGAAGTATGTTTACATACCCTTGAAAGAAACCTTTACGAAACCGGACAGCGTAAGCAGCGCCTCTTGCACCTCTCTCGTCGACTCGCTTGCGAAGAGATATCGACAACACAAGACAACAGTAGTGACTTGGTACAACCATGGTCAACCTACATGTAGTAGCAGACCGAGTCAACAGGGGTACAGCCCAGAAGAAGCATAACTGATGCATACAGCAGTACGTACCTGCTGTGAGGAGAGCACCATCTTGGGCGAGAACTCGCTGGCGAGGTACTTGTCCGCGTGGGGCGACACGATGCGCACGAAGAGGACGGAATCCTTCTCCCAGGCTAGGTGCTTGATGGCGAGGGGCAACCCCAGCTCCTCGAACTGCTCCGGCTGTAACTTCTGCAGCTCGTTCATCTTGTCCAAGACCTTGTTGCGAGGTTGGGGCAGAGGAGAGAAAGGGGTGAGAGAGAAGGGGGGTAGGGAGAGAGGGAGGGAGGAAGGGAGAATCATGCCGCAGGAGAAAGCAAAACAGCACAAGCAGAGAGGTCAAGCTCGTGTTATGGGAAAAGCGACCGAAGCCGAATTGGCTGGAACACATGCATGCTGTGGCCAGCTGGACAACGGCCACGAGGAGCTTGGGGGGCGTCGTTATTTGCGTCGCTCATCTCCTACGCTCTCAGCTGCCGGATCATTGACCAAGCTCCCCCCTTCGGATCGGAGTACCCTTCCAACTCCTATAAACGCCACACCGCGAACGTACGGTTGACACTGAATTTTTACCACCTGTCGATTGATCCTCACCCCGCCCCGCTTTTCTCCATTAAACGATCGCACCCGCATCCCATCTTGCGGGGAAGCACGTGAGCTCCGTTCACTCAACAATCTCAAACGGTTGCATTTTCTCCAAGCGGTTGTGCCCTCACTCTCTCATCCCTACCCCCCACTGATACCATGGGTTACAGCTAAATGTAGGGCAATGTTCGAAGCGTCGTAACATTTTCATTGTTTATCTTTCTTACCCTTTCCGGAACGGCGGACAGGCTGCTGATGATCTTCAAAGGCACGCTCTTAAGATCGGCGTGCGTGGCGAACCTAATGGCAAGTGACATGCGGCGTTTTCAACAACACACCGCGGTCACACACACATATATATATACACAGGGCAATGGCTCCGGAGTGGGCTCATCAGAGTAGTATAGTGCCATCAAGGCGTGACACAAGATGGAAGTAGAGCATGCGTTGGTGTGAACCAATTGCCAGCTGCCATCAGCGACGTTTTTTCCAAGCTCGAGCAGCTCACACAGGTGACGTGTTTTTGACTCGAAGAGCCCAGCGAACGACAAAAAAAAAAAAAATCTGTGCACAGTCTTATTCTACCGTTTTACATACTTATCTTTAGGGCGTCTGGTAGATCGGCAAACGGACTGCTCAAGGCCCGAACGAAGATGTGGAGCTTGAAACGTCGGACGTGTGCGTGTTAACATGCATTGAGTTGCTCTCCCGTCATTCGATGGGGTACAGACATTCTTTGTTCATATCTCTTTCGCTAGTTACAATAGTGCGGTTCACAGCACGGGCGACCAATCTTCGAACTGTCAAGTCACACGGATAAGCAGGTACATAAGCCCAGACGCAGAATGACACGCACGTCTCGACAGGGGCCAAGATATGTCCATTGGGAAACATGAAGGTCATTCTGTACAGACTGCCAATGTTGGTGGTCCCAACGTGTCGCGAAGTGAGGCACAGCATCAACCGATGCCACCACACCACCGCCACCGTCAACGAAACCACCATCACAGCAATCAATTTAGTTGGGGTCCCGGTTTAGGGACCTGTTCAGCGACATGCCCTGTTTAGCGACCCCAAAATCTCGTGACACCGCTGCACCCCGGTTTAGCGATCATGTGGACGCTAAACCGGTCGAACCCTCAACAGCGACTCATTGGACTGTTTTCAGCGGCTATGATACGTATCACGGTATTACCTCCCCCTTTTAGTCTTCATCTTGGTGGCTATTTAATAGGAATAGGCAAGAAGGAGGTTCCCAGGGGTAACCGGAAAGTCGTCACTCTCTTTTTCTTACTTGAAGGAGTCGGTCAAGAGGTCCAGCAAAACATTCTCCGGGAGGTGCGGGATCTGGTCCAGGAGGACCCTCAGGGAATTCTCCAGTAGCTGCTTGTACACCGACGCACGGCTCACCTGGGTATGCGCGGGTTGGCAGCAGCAGGGAGTGTCCGTGTGGATTGAACTCCAGTATACAGCGTCCAGAGCACTCAGGTGGGTTGGGTGGCTTATCCAGAGAACTTGCATCGATTAGAGTCTGTGTATGCATAGCAGCACCTGGAGCAGCCTTCCCGAAGTTTCGAAGTCCAAGTCTATGTATTACAGCCTAGTCTCTCTCTGCTTGTATTTATTTTTCCTAATAAACCTACGTGCAGCCTGAACAAGGACACGCGGCCAAACCCTCTGCTGACAATGGGTGCGTGCGCATCGAACACGGGTGTAAGCATGTCATACGCGAACATCGTCCTTGCCGTCTAAAGACACGTCCTATCCTTCCAAGGTTTCGTACGTAGGCCGTTCGCTGCGTAAGCCGGCATGGCGAAGTGCCGCATTTCATTCTCTGCTGGGGGGGCAAGGTTCTGGCATGTAAAAAATCAAACTCAGAGTGCAGCAGCATGCCAGCATCAGCAATAAGCCCGCCAGCCAAGCTTGTGTATGCAAACAACATGGGTCCCAACGTCCTTGGGTACGATCATTTGTTTCTATGTCAGACACCACGAGCAACACCGGCACCTCCAGCAGTCATGTGTAATGTAGGTAGAGGCCGTTGGCAGCTTGTACTAAGCGCCGGTCGTAAGCAAAATGCAAAGCATCTATAGCAGCAGAACATTAACATTTGTCACCGTCGTAGTGCATTCAAAGTGGCGATCGCGTGTCAAAACACAGACGCCGAACCGCCGGGACTCACCCCTAATATATCAAGGAACCCAAGCGCGAGCTTGACCGACGGTTCGGCGAGGCCGGCCTCCTCTCCCCACCCCCTGACCCGATCAATCCACCTCCTCCCCTTGCTGAGGTCCTGGACATGCGAGGTGAGAGTTCTGTGGCCCGCCATCCCCACGAGATAGTTGGTGCGTTCTCCTTGCGCTGCTGCTGCTGCTGCTCCTGCTTCCCCATTTCCTCCCTCTGCGGCAGCGGCATCACCAGCAGCAGCACCGCTTTTCTTGGACGCCTCGTTGCTGGTGGGAGCACCATCTTGGCCCTCGCCTCTGTCTTGTTCCTGCCGTGCGCCATTTCTGCCGCTGCTCCTGCCTGCTGACGACGAAGATATTCCGCGCTTCATGTTGATCCCTTCGCCAATCCTGAAGCCACACGACAGAAGCAAACACGGTGGGATGCCAAGACAACCCAGCAGCCGAGCAACACCAACGCTTCCCGGATGCCAGAGCAGACTGCAGCTATGTAGCTATGTAGCGGCGAGTTGCGGAAGAGACAAGAAGTGCGGCGGGATTACGCAGTTGGAGGGGGCTCCGTGCAGGGAAGCTACCCCCCCAGCCTATCGAGCAATCGCTCGGTTTGGCACGCGGGCAATGTCGCTGGCAGCTGGGTCCACACACACGTTCAGCGTCGAGGTCAAAAGTGGTCATAGTATCCCAAGGAACCGGAGAACAGATCTTGGCTGATCGTGCTCCAGGGACTAACAATTGGACCATTCGTTAGGTGAGGGAAGAAGTGCAAAATGTTAATGGGGCCCGTACTCCAGTGTTTTTTGAAGGGCGCTGCTGCGTCCTTGTGTGCTCTACGCTTGGAGTCAACCACCACCCCTTCGTGAGTTGGTGAGGCAGCAACACGCACCAGTTATTGCTGGACGAAGACATCGTTGTTGGTGGCTCGCTATTTCCCTATCTTGCTCCTGGATTTGTTCATGAATGCATGCTATGAGGGAGTTTGCGATTGCGGTGTCGGTGTCATACACGTTCAAAAAGGTCGCCGCCGTCCTTCACCCAGCGTACAGCGTCCTGTGTTTGCTGGCACATTGCCCTCTGGAATTGACACAAACGCAAAAACACAAGGACAAGATGGGGTTGCAGCTGGTACGGCATGCTCTCACGCGATGCGGTAGTCGAGATCGCTCGGCTTTGGTTCCATGGATAACTTCGCAGAACAAGGCATCCGCCGGGGGTTATACGTATAATAACACCCCCCCCCCATGGCCACCACGGCGCCTGTGGGAGGGAAGACGGTCTCGCGACTCTCGACGACGGAGAGCACGGGCATCACGTCCTCGAGCAATGTGCTTTTCGTAATCTGGCTCGCATTGTCCTCGTGCCGATAATTTGCTACTACCACCCACCAAGCTGCTTCACCAATGCACAGCTATCGGTCATCCGGTCATATTCTTCGCGGTCTCTTCCGCTCGACGTCGTGCATCGGACGGTTCCGGCGGGACAAGCGGAACATGCGAAATGTTTCACAAGTACAGAGGTCCGGGAGTGGGGTACTAAACACAAACTACGACCGGTGGCGGCACACAGCAGCAGTGTATACTCCCTCCGCGACCTATCTTGGGAACGGAGCGGGCCTAATCGCGGGAAAACGCGTACCGTACCGGGGATCGATCTCCCGGAGAGTACAACGCGTATTGCTCTTTGGGGAGGTGATGGCTGGGTAGCGATGCGATCGGTCGCCGATGAAGGACCCTTGTCCCACGCGCGCTTGCGACGTACTTCTAAATAGACGGATTGGGAGACCTCCAGTCTCAGCATCTGTTCCGACGCACAACGCCACTCCCTTGGTTTCGTCTTTTTCTTGCTACACCCCGGGGGGTTGCAGGTGTTCCAAAGCAGGAGAGCATGTCGGACTACGGGGATGACGGAGGGTACGGGGGCGGCGGCGGCGGCGGCGGGGGAGGAGGAGTCAGCAAATGGACGTGAGTCTCGGCGCTGGGGTTTCTTTATCCCGAGATTTTTTTGGCTGGGTGCATACATACGAGCGCGCCTGGAATATGATATTTCGGTATGCAGAACGGTGATCGGATGATTGTTCGACGATAGCAGTATACCATGTGTTGCAATTTGCCCGGCGATTATTTCGTCGGTCTCGTCAGATTGTTTTTCGGTGTATCCCCCCAAAAGTCTGAGACTCGGGGAAGGGGCCGACTGGCTTCGACTGTCACAACACTCGTGCAAAAATTAAGCTACAAGTAGGTGAGCACCAGCCACGCCTCTGACCTCCAATCTCTACTATTGACAGATGTTTCCATGTCGCCGCCCGGGGACATCTACAAATGTTGTTTACTCCCACATTGCGGGGCCCAAACCAATGTAGATGCTCGCGTGGCTGTTGTCCCGAGTTCTTTCATCACATGTCAGCGGCGCAAGCGCCCTCGCCAGCTTCGAGCCGCGTGATACACGCACACGGCTGCTGTAGCAGACACGTTCCGCCGCTCATGTGTCGTTCAAGTTGACCAGGGGAAGAAAAGCAGCCATTAGACCAACACCGAAAACGACGAATGTTTTGGAGGCGTTATTATCCTATCCCGTTGCACCTCAACCGGAACCCGACTCCTACCTACATGCGTTTACGCTATCCAAGCTGTTTATGTACATAGCCCTACCGGAGTTTCTTTATTCCGACCCTCTTTGCCGAAAGCCAGGTTGCGCTTGTCGGGCATTCTGGGTTGTGTGTTTCGTAGCCCCCCGTTATCCATGAAGTAGCGAAACAGAAGCACCCGCTCACTCACTCATTCACTCTCTCTCTCACACACATGAAACGCTCGAGATGATGCTGTAAGTACACCCAATGGCATACGCTTCGAATGCAAGCGCTTGTTTGGACACGTGGCGACGTTCTTCATGGCTCGTTGTCCTCTTCACTGAGATGCTGCGAGCAGCCAAAACAAACCGTGTGTCCTCTCACGGAAAACTCTATTTCTTGGCGGGCTGGGGTGTGTGGTAAGTGGTAAACTACGTGTTAGGGAACCATAGAGCTGCGGACCACGGGTTCGATTTTTTTTTTTACATGAAGGCTATGTACACGGTGATGACGATCACGACGATCACGTCACCAAACAAGCATATGTATGTCGAAATACAGCAACGGCAACAGGCGCATGTTTATTCTTCTTGCAAAGCACCCAGAATCAACGAGAACACACCAAGCCTACGTAGCGCACACAGCAACAAACGAACCATATGGATACAACCCTTTTGGGAATGTATATCGACGTGCGTTGCGCGCCGCAACAGGGCGTCCACCCCGCAAAACAAGGAGGAGACGCAGTCGCTCGACTTCCTCCTGCCGGAGAGCGTGAAGGACTTCGTGTTCGACCTCCACGATGCGATGCGAAGGGCCAAGCGCGTCGACGAGCTCGAGCCGCTGTACAACACCACCTTCAAGGCCGTTACCGATGCGTACTTCAAGGGGGTGAGTGGGGGGGGGGGGGGAGGGGGGGGGGGGACCGTACTTTCCCACCCCTTGGGGGTTGCGCGAATTTCAAGCCGAGGAACAACCCGCTGAATCTGCTCGGGTCTGCCCTGCCCTGTCCCCTCTGATTTTGTAATTCCAAGCCTTGGTTTGGGGAAACCGGTCCGCCCCACTTTACCCCCGCCCCCCCGGTGGCGCCCTGGTTTTGGCCCACCCCCCTGGGCCCGGTTTGGGCCGTGGCCCAACCC